CTCTCTCAAATATTGCATGATCTGAGGAGCGTTACTTCATTCCCAGAACAAATGGCCGAATTCGGCTTTACTTCTGTTTGTCTTTTGTCACCTTGAATACCTTTGCATATATCGTCTAGCAAATGCCGCAGTTGGGCTTCACTTCCCAACTTTCGGTTGTCATGTGACTTCTTCGGGCCTTAATTCCCGAGAAAATGCCGGAATGGGGCTTTAATGCTCATTGTTCGGTTATCACGTGTACTTTTCGGCCCACGTCCGGGATCTCGGCAATAGAACCTATGCGAAATGCACAGGGCCATCTGTTTGGCGCCGAAAAGAATGTTCCGTCTCAGCAGTTATTTTTGGGGCTGGCAAAGACCAGGGCGCGAAAGTTAAGTTCTGAAGAATCCTTCGCCCCCACAAGCATTCCTGCAGAGAAAGCGCTCTTGTAGACCAGGCGCCCGCGCCCATGCCTTTGCCGGCACTCAAAGCTAAATTTCTAGCTAAAGTGTGCCTCCGCCATGTTGGCTACAGCGAGAAACCAGCGACCGGCGGGCCGAGGAGCACCTAGATCTGCTCATCCTTTGCTCGCATGTGTGGGTGTGGAAAGATGAGGCTGAGCAGTACGCCTTGATTGTTACCGTCAAAGCTACAGAATTGACAAAGTGCAGAGGATGTTCCAGCTACCAAAGATGGTAGCGACAGATAGTTACCAAAAGTTCAATCATTGTCGCATAACGTCTATTATGAGTCAAACTAAAGATAGAGACAGACTTGGCATTTTGTTCTAGATAGTTTGTGTCGGATGTACTTAAACATAATTTTCATCGATATATTCAAGACGTTAAGAGGTATTTTAACAAATGTTTATACACAACCATTTCGGGGAGATTCCTTTCTATTAACACGTTTTTGTTCTGGCAACTTAGGTCCTCAAAAAGCTTGTAGATGCCACAGTTGAGCCAAATGTTTCCTTCTCTGCACAGGGTATGAGCATGTTTGACCCAATTTGACAAGCAATTGTTTGGTAAAGCCTATCACTGGCACTTAAGTGCCAATGCTTTAGTTCTGATTGCTCGGTTTTCTTATGGTATCTTTGGGACTAAATAGCCATAGAAATGACAGGACCAAACCATATGAAACCTAAAACGCAACAAAGCATAATATTCAGACTTCAACTATCGCCTCGTAGCAAAATTGCATTGGACCAAAGTTAGGCTCCTAGGATTGCCAAGCTTCAGGCAAGCTGGGCGTTTCTCTTTGGCGCTACCTGGGAGATTAGACCCTACAATTTCCAAACATGAGCCAGGTTAGGATTTTTAGGTAGTACTTAATTCGAAATTTAAATTTATTTTGATCTAAAGGCCAAGGCGGTTGTTTTTCACATTTTAAGTAATGACTGTTATTATTATTATTATTAGTTCACAATGTTGTAATTAATTGATTTATAACTTTAATACTGGTGGTTTAGCCACACAAGCCAATTCTGGCTTCGGCAGACCCAGACCCGAATCATACTTCGTCGCATCCGATAAAAAACACAAAAAAAACATTATTAATTCATTATTATTAAACCATTAAACCATTATTAACAATAATAGTATTAACATATTCTTGAACTGAGGTCACTGACTATTATTAATATATTCCTTGTTTCTTCTTTTTAATATTATTTATTCTTTATTTACTACGTAATGTGTGACGCAAGTAATAGCCTCATTTTTAGTGCTGTACCTGGCGTTGCAAAGCCATGTCCAAAACGCTTGAAAGAATTCGACAGGCCGTTTTTTGATTGTACTAACTTCAATGTTGTAATAAACGATTAACATTATTAAATAGTGTTTCACTTCGGTGTTAAATTTTCAAACTACAAATTGCTTGTGCTACATCCGCAAATTAATTATACTCTATCACGTACATATCGGAGAATAAAAAATAGAAACATTGCTTCTATAACAAAGCTATTCGGACGCACAATCAAAAACCGACATTTTAGTCAAATGTTTCACGTTGAATGTAATGTGCTTTCGCGATAGTTTATCTAATATTGGAAACATGGGAACGCTTATCTTAACTTTTATATTCAGACAGAGAAGAAACAGAGCAAAAAAGCTGCCTTCATGGAACTTGAGGGCCCTCCCGGAAGCCCCATAATGCAAGCCGCAGCAACAGAATATTGTATAAAAAAGGCTAAATCAACAATAAAACTTCCACAAAAACAATGTGCATTGTTGTACAACATTTAATATGTATTTTTGTTTGAATAAAGTAACATATAGTTTAAGTGATGCAACGCTTTAAGTTGCTCAGAACACGCGCAATCTCAGATGACTGCGTAATATATCGTGAAATTACTAACAAATCATATGCTGTACTTCTTCAGGCTGACTTATGCGCTGTTTCGCAATGATGTACCTTATAGAAATGGGTCTCAATACACCTAATGTAGAGCTACCAGGGGGCCTTGTCGCAACACGTCACCGTCAGCGTACACGATTTGTAAAACTCAGCTCACATCTCTAACCTTATTCAAGTATCTTGGTATTAAAATCACGTCTAACCAATCATGGAAAACTTATTCTTATTATATAATCAATAAGGCTAATGCGATTCCTGGATATTTAAGAAGGAACTTTTCTATAAACCCTATGTCAATCATACCTCGTCAAACCTCACACATGAGGGTCCTCACTCACCCTCACTCACCCTATCTTCACGGGTGAGTTAAGGGCGAGTGAGTTTCCGAACAAGGAAGATTCATGAGTGAGGGTGAGTATGGGCCGTGAGGGCCGTGAGGGCTGTGAGGACCGTGAATGCGTGAGCGCCGTAAGGGCGGTGAGTCCCTGAGCGGCATGAGGGGTGTGAGGGCCATGAGTGCGTGAGGGCCGTGAGGGCGGTGAGTGTGTGAGGCCCCCTTCAGACGGAGCAACTTACTCAGCAATTTCGGTGTGTGCCTGAGGGGCGTGAGGGGTGTGAGGGCCATGAGTGTGCGAGGGCCGTGAGGGCGGTGAGTGCGTAAGGTTTGTGTGGGCCATGAGTGCGTGAGGGGCGTGAGGGCGGTGAGTGTGTGAGGCCCCCTTCAGACGGAGCAACTTACCCACCAATTTCGGTGTTGCTGGCGGGTTGTTCCCTAGCTTTCCCTAGATCGACACGAATTGCTGAGATCGGGTCCAGCTCGAAACAAGCGAGCAACTCGCAGCAATTCGAAGACGTTCGAAGTGGCTGCATTCAATCAGGGACGCGATATTTTCACGTGATACCTCGTGCCGGTGATGATGACAATAAAATACTTGTTTCTGGCTTGAAATTGATCATTTTTGAAAATAAACTGCTTCAGAAAGATGCATTAGTATTCTCAACGAGATGTACATGCATAAAAACACGTTTATGGCGCGCAATTGCTTGTCTGAATAGTGCAAGAAAAATAAAATTTCATGATGATGATGGCAAATCGCAGCAGTGGCTTGCTGCGTGTGAACGGGGGTGGCCCGTGTTGCTGGTGTTGCGACGCCAAGTTTCTGGGCGAAATTGCCCCCTTCTAATGCGGGCCTGAGTGGCATGAGGGCCATGAGTGCGTGAGGGCCGTGAGGGCGGTGAGTGGCGTGAGGGCGGTGAGCGGCGTGAGGGCCATGAGAGCGTGAGGGCGGTGAGTGGTGTTAGGGCCATGAGTGCGTGAGGGGCTTGAGGGGTATGAGTGCGTGAGGGCGGTGAGTGACATGAGGGCCATGAGTGCGTGTGGGGCGTGAAGCGTATGAGTGCGTGAGTGGCGTGAGGGCGGTGAGTGGCGTGAGGGCCATGAGTGCGTGAGGAGCCTGAGGGTGGTGAGTGGCGTGAGGGCCATGAGTGCGTGAAAGGCCTGAGGGCGGTGAGTGGCGTAAGGGCGGTGAGTGCGTGAGGGGCGTAAGGTTCAGTGAGGGTGACTGAAGGGCTGAAGGTAAGCGTGACTGTGAGGCTGAGTGAGGGGCCGAGGGTGACTGTAGCTGTGAGGGTGAGGGTGAGCAAGGGGCTTAGGTGAGCATGGCTGTGAGGGTGAGGGTGAGTGAGGGCGACCTAAAATGACGACCTCTGATGTCAAAAAACCTTTTTCTGCACAAGATTTTACTACATTCAAAGCTGGAATATGCCGGAGCAATCTGGGATCCCGGTCACACAACGGTTGTAACGATCATCGAAACCCTACAAAATCGCGCCGCACGTTTCATAGTCTGTAACCATCATCACACCGCAGGTGTTTCATGAATGAAAACCACTCTGTTTAAGTCTCTTCTTCCCTCTTGCCGTCAAATATTTTGTGTCTCTTTCATAAAATGTATTATTCCAACGATTATCTGAACGACAAACCATTCATTAGCCCCTCTTTCATTTCTCCCCGCATCGATCACCGTCTTAAAGTTGGCATACCTGATTGGGAAACTTCAGCTTAGATCTACTCTTTCATCCCCAAAACGCCATCTGAACGGAACCCCCTTTCCGGCATCAATTGTAACTATTTAGCACTTTTTTTTATTTACAAAAACACTAACTAGTCACTTTTTAAACATTATGCCGAACTAACTTTTTAACCAAGTCGTCTTTTTTGTTTAAATTTTTTACTGAACCAATAGTGCATGGCTACCCTCTTTGTAATTCCTCAAGACCCTGAAGGTATTTCTGTAAATAAATGAATGAATAAATTAAACATTTCTGCGTGTCTAACTTTGCAATATTATTATCAATAATATTGTGTTATTTCTAGAATGTCAGCGATTCCGCTAGTCGTGTTGCACTTTTTTATTGTCGTACACAATTAATATTAGCAGGCGAATTTTAAAAAGGTATTAATTTCTTAATTTGTTTTGAGCCACTGGTCCAGACAAGATGTACAGAGATTTCTTAACCAACAGATCGGTACTATCCTGAAATTGTGAATATTGACATATTATTGCGTATGGTTATAAAACGTTAACAACGAGGGATACAGATATGTAAAAGCCTCGTTTCGTTACTACTTCACTTATATCTTTATATTATTGTTTAGCATAATGGTTGTTTATACCGTTCAGATAGAGACAAGTTCTGGCTTGTGTGGTAAGATATCACCTTGGGAAAGAAATTAAGCTTGTGTTAGAAAGTCGTCCAAACAAGAACGTACGTTTGCACACGGATGCATTAATTGACCCTGCAGTATTTTTATAAGCTAGATCCAACATCGGCACTGTGGTCTAGCCCTATGGTGCAGAAAAAAGTGTGCTAGTAATAAAATAAAATGATAATTTTATACAAAGGCCATCGTAATCCCCAATTTTTGTTTGCTCAGCCATAGTTCAATTACATTTAATTTTTTTTCCAGTCAACTCTCCACATGGCTATTTCCAAGCCCCGTCAGCTATGAGTTATTTGCTGCTGCGAAGATTAATTGAAAGTTCGCTAACCTTTTCCACGAGGCAACAGGACGTCGCACAAGGTTCAAGACGTTGATCGCCAGCGACATTCGCTGACCTTCAGTACCAGATCGCCGAACCCGCGAAAAGGGCAAAAAAACAATTTTAATAAAAAAGGGCGTGTATTCAAAAGATGACATCATGCATAGTTGATAAATCCTGCAGCTGTTGATGTACTATAAAAGGAGGTGGGGTCCGGACTTCGAAATCACTTTCTTCTTCTAGCACATCTGCGAAGATACTTTCGAATAACCCTTCAACAATGCGTGCCGTAACCATTTTCATCGTTACTCTTGTGGTTCTGGAAAGGTAAGAGTTACAAGCCAAAGTAATAGCACGCCGGAAGATGTAAATATAAACTGAAGGACAGGGTTTACCTAATAACTGCATTTTTGTGTAAGTTGTCTGAAAAAGACTGACCGCCAAAATATAATGTTACACCTAATTCATCGGTGTGAAAAATAAAAAAAAAACTTCAAAACTAGCTACTGTCTCAGGAGTGAGACAGTAACTAGCTTATGATTAATTATCGCCAGCTCGCCTGCGCGCCAATTGTTATTTTGAGACTGATTATCTGTGCACCTTTAATTATTTTAAGTTATACCTCGTATGTACTTCGTTAAACACAAACTATTTATAGTCTAGGTTACATGCATGTGCTATTAGAATATCAACATTAATTACGCGTTTTGTGTAGCGAGTAACAAGGAGTGAGCAAAAAACTTACATTGGCTCTTGGTGTTAACTTTGCAACAACAAACTTATTCTGAAAAAAAAGTATGGCGAGATTGTCGAATTGTTTAAAGAATTGGGAACCCCAGTCGAATGCAATGTGCTCTTGAATAAATGTAAACCCTGGGTGTTTATGCCATATGCAAGAGTATCATGCATGTGACTACAGAAACCATGGGCCCTCGTCTGTACACTTCGTGAAAAAATCGGCGAAAAATATGGCGGCAGTGACTGGCAGCCGCCAAGGTCGAGCGAGGCGGTGGCCAGTCACTGCCGCCGGATTGCTTGCCGATTTGTTCGCCGAGTGTCGAGGTTAGGGCACCAGAAAATAAGACCCTCCCAAGCCGTCGTCGTACTGAGGTATTTAGAAATGTGATAAAACCACAAGCATTCGAAAAAATCGATGAAATACGTAAAATTACACTCAATGACAATCCGTCTAAAGGACGGAAAGACACCAGACCTACAGTTAGCCTAATGTCGATCGATTTGACTTATAATCAAATTTAGCTCATTGGACTACTAAATATTCTTCCGTGGAAAATATTTGTTTACGTTATTTTAAGAAGGTCGGGATATTTAGTGGGGTTTTAGAACATTGAAATCAGCGTTTATTGTGTCGAAGATAAGCTGTACGTGGATCTTTGGGTGTGCAAACAATAGAGGGAGAGAATTAGTACAGAAAGACGTACGTACTAAAGCGTCCTTGCTGCCCTTCATTCCGTGCCGGAATGACGGGGAGTCAGGACGCGTGCGGAAAGTGTTCCTTCCCCTTTTTAGGGTCGGCAATTCCACACTTCTTGCGCCACATTTTGACGTAGATTACGCTGAAAATGCCTCGAAATTCAGGGAGATGACTACAGCATTTTCATGACCGACGGAAATAAATCGTACAAATGTAGTTGGTGTACGGAGCTTAGTCAGCCTGGAGACGTTAGGTTCAGCAGGAAAACGGGACCGAGAACCTTGAGCCTGCTGAGGTTGTGATTGAATGTCAGGATGTATCGAAAGCTAGGCTAGGTCTAGGAACTTGCGGTGTTCAATAATGTGTACTATCACGTGCTGAAAGATTATCAAGCTCTTCGACCCAGTTCGTTGCCTTCACGAAGATAACCATATTTGCGGCAATAAAAATAAATGGGACTTTGATCAATCATGCTGCTCCTGCACCCGTGGCTTTTTTGACCCGGCTGTCTGCCAAACGGTACACTGCGGGCCGACCTACCTACAAGCGAATCGCTTGGAACGCCATCACGATAGCTGTTTGTTCAGTGGCTACTTCGGAAGGACAGGTCGTCGCCTCAGGTACTTCCCGCTCCAGCCATGGTGAAGCTGGTACTTTTATTACAGATCTGAGCACTCGTGCATATGATGGTGCAGTACTTTTAATTCCGAACTTGTTGACGGGTTAGAAACTGAACTACCGAAAGCGTCGTCCTCCGTAAAGTGGGTGCGCTCCAAATAGCTCCCGTTGCTTCACGCCTGTGAATAGCACATTTTTTTTTAATATTTCATCATTTAACCACGTACAAGAGTCTGAGCGACATTGTGTCGTCTGCATTGGACGTAGGTTTGCAGAGCGGGAACAAGCTTTGCTGCCAAAATTATACGTATGCTTCGTTTCTTATGAGCTCTTTAGTCGGACGCTTAATTTTTTTTGTATTTCTTACTGGCTCTTAGCACTAGAAAACAGTTCAGACGAAAGTATATTATTGGGAGGACTGTTCGTTTGCGTTTTGAGAGCTCATGCTGTTCGTAGCTTGGTTGTTGCAATCTCTTTCATTATGAAAACTGGGCTATCACTGTTCCCCACAGCAAATGCTCCTGACAGTGGCAGACTAGAGAAAGAAACTGAAATTCTTGCCATCAATCAAACATAGAAAAACACCGTGTTTTTTTTTTTGTCCTTTCTTTTCAGCTTCTCTGGGTTCGCAAGTTATAAATTTTGAGAATACATATATCGTCTTGGCTTATGTAGTGTTTTATGTTTGGATGTTTCCGGTTTAGGTTTGCAATCGGTTCGATTTCGCACATTGGTTTGCAAATGTACCATTTTAGAAAATTGCTGTGTTAGGAGGTGCTAGAACAAAAATACGTGAGCACGTGCTCAAGCGAGCGGGTGCACTCCCTCGACCATGGAAGCAAGGTCCGGTTCGCTCCACTGAGCTTCGGTGAGCCAGATGGGCCGCCCCCAATGTCTATTTTGTCCCTATGATAGCCTATCTTTCCGGCCCCAAGTTCGCTATATGACGCTTCTTCCCTCTCCTTTTTTAGCCATGGCGTTTTTTTATCGCCACATCCTCGCACTCCTTTTCCTAATAGATGGCGCGAGTCAATTCCAGAATGGTGTAAACATATTCCGGTAAAATATTCCCGTGAGATGGCAAGCTTTCAAAGACTGAAAAATGTATTTTGCAAGATAAGGTGGAAGATACTCAGAAAAGTAATTGAAGTGCCGTAACCAATACTCTCGATCAAACGTATTTGCCTCATATAGCTACCGAAAGCAATTAATATACAGTATCTTGACAAGGGTATTTCAGATAAGCACAAGCCATGTTCCGACCCTTCTATAGTCTAACACAAGTTGCGACTAACTCAACAATGTTAAGAATAAGGCTCTTGGTTAAAAGAGCGGTATCTCGAATAATTGTTTTATTTTTGTTCAATTCTCTAGCAGTAACAACTTTGAGGAAGTCTGCCCGACAATTAAATTTATGTTTGTTTGAGAATATTATGTCACTTGTTACCCGTGATTCGTTTTATAAAAAAAATAGTGATAGAACGTCCCTCCCCTACTGAAAAAAACCATTTGAAATTCAAACGGGTGGCAAACTGGTCGCCCGTTTGAATCAAACCTGTCGATCCGTTTGGATCAAACGTGATTATGGGATACGGGTACCCGTTTGGAAACGGTACCCGTTCGAAACGGTACCCGTTTGATACAGGTGCCCGTTTGATATGGGTGCCGTATGGTACGAGTACCCGTTCGACATGGTACGTGACCACAGGTTTGAACGTGCACTTCGAAATGGCAAATTATGCGCTAGCCCTAAATGGGTATCGTCTGGGAGGTTGGTTATCTTAAACATATTTAAGAAGTCCCGAAACTCATAAACGCATTTATAACATGGAGAAAACACGTAGAACAAATGCACTCGCGTAGGTGCTTGTAAGTGAACAGGAAAACCGACTCAAAAGATTGTTTTCAATTCTCCTCGAAGTTTATTACCTCTTCTGTAGACAAGTACAAACGTGCAAGCGATCTGTGAACACTATACAGGTAGACTTTCGGGGAAATTATTCTCCTGGCTGCCGCGCGAATAGGCGCTGCATAATTCTTTAGATGATTTAGAAGAGTACGCGTAGAAGAACGGTCAATCGTTGCCAACACGTAGGTTGCAGTGCACTTACCATAACAATAGCGGACTTGAAAGAGGTAATCCGTGATATTTGTCGACACGGTCAAAGCAGGACAACCACACAAACACAAACGAGAGGGAACGGCTCCTTGAAAGTTTCAACACGATGCGGCGCACAAGCTGTCATTTGCCGAACCCAACCAAACCGCGAGAATTTGCGACTTCTTTGAAGAATCGCTCGTTGCCGACATACACGTGGGTCTTTTCGAACACTGATAGCTTTGGTGCACATCCAATACGTTGTCGAGAGACATCCCAATAAGACCGCAGGGTTAGGCGACAGATTGAAGCAGGTAGGACGAGCGAACTTCGAGCAGCAACTGACAACAAGCAGACAAAGAAAAAAAGCGGCTGCAAGGCGCGCCCTTCCGGATCTCGATGCTTATCAGCGTGTAGCTCGCGCGCTGCTGTGGGTCACGTGACAGGAGTGACAAGAGAGGAGGGAGGGGGCGAGGTCAAGGCGCTGGGACCACCGGGACAGCCCCTCTCCCTCTCCCCAGGCATTCCAGGGAGATGCGTTTTTGTAGTCCCGAAGAACAAACGCGCGCGCGCGCGCGCGCTCGAACTTTGGAAATGGCGGCGGGGCTGCCAGAAGCTCGGCTTGCGCCCGAGCGAAGAAAGAACTCAGCGCAAGCTCGTAGTTTGAGTGCTGCAACGGCGGGCGTGCTCCCGCAATGCTCGATGTTCTTGCAGCCGCGTGTACGCGTGCTACCTTCGCTGCGTCTTGAATTAAAGTGAAACGGAGTCTAGACGTACATTCTTTCACGCGGGCGCGTCTTCTGCGAGAGAGATTCGAGCTGAATAAGTAAATTGAGGCAACAAAGATGGACAAAGTATTAAAGGTCTGTCAAAAATATCGGCTCACCAACGTCGCGCGTTTACGTAAAACAAAAAAAAAAAAAAAAGGTGTTAGTTTTAGTTGCAGTATAATCGAAAATCAGCGCAATTGAAATATAAATATAATTACTAGCATTACGCGGACGATCTGAAATCGATGAACCGGCGCTCTCAGCCTTCCGGAAAACATTGGCTGCCACGGCTGAAACGCTAGGCGTGCCCACGCCGCCGATCTGTACGTTCAATATCAAACGGGCTCCGGAGAGCCGTTTGATTAAACCGGTGCAGTTTGCAACATGGTCGCCGGTTTGAGCAAAC